ATATATACGTCACTATGCGGAGTACCCCCCACCCCCATCCCCCGGAAACCTGTCCTGCATTTGAATCGACGCGTAAAACTCAGTTACGCAGGTGACTATAACCGCCATGTTATCTTTCATCTTTATCGATTGCATCGATCTACATCGATCTACATCGCGATGCAAAACACACACAGGGGGTCGCCGCAAAGTTTGCTAGAGGGGTCGCAAAGGTCGCTAGAGGGGTCGCAAAGTTTGTTAGAGGGGTCGCGAAGTCGCTAGAGCGACAGCGATGAGTTTATCCGAGCCGAGAGATGGCAGACGATACTACGCGTTCGCTACATCGATCGCCATGGCAACCGCTGCTGTTCACGCGTCTGTAGTTATGCGTGACATGGCAAGCGCATCTGGTTAGTACGCGGCATTGTGGTGCGAGTGAGGGTAGGCGACTCGGGTGAGTGGGTGAGAACGTCCGGGTCAACAATCAATCACTCACTCACAGGTGGGGTGCGGCGTGTCGGTGACTCGTGGCGCCATCTATTGGCGAAAAACGCCTATCACACCCATCCGTATACGGTTCCCACTCTAAGTCAAGCCGGTAGCCAATTCGCATATTTATCGTACGCGCACACACACGCGAGTAGTGTAAAGTCTATTAATTTACTTATATATTCGTTTATTTATTTTCTTTATTTATTCGTGTGAAGAACGCACGTACCACATAACGGTTCGTGGTCGGACCACGTTCCGTCCGGCAGACAATTCCGGGTCCTAGCTCCGAACAACTCCAAGCCGACGTCACAGTAGTATGTCGCGTTCGTTCCCTGAGTGGCGGCGGCATCATTGCGGCTGAATTTCACCCAGGAGCCTGCTCCCGATCCAGGGTACCCGCATTCTCGCTCACCTGGAGTGAGATGGAAAAAACACAGGCGGTGATCAATGCTGTATCGATGAATAACGTATCGATATGTTCGATGCATCGATATCTCATCGGTATATTCGATGTATCGATATCTTATCGGTATATTTAATGTATTAATATCTCTTCGGTATAATCGATGCATCGATATCTTATCGGTATATTTAATGTATTAATATCTCTTCGGTATATTCGATGCATCGATATCTTATCGGTATNGGAGGAGGTGCGGTGGGAAGGTAGCGGAGAAGCTGCGAGAGAAGGTAGGGGAGGAGGTGCCGGGGAAGCTAACAGAGAAGCTGTGAGGGAAGGTAGCGGGGGAGGTGCGGAGGGAGGTAGCGATGGAGGTGCGAGGGAAGCTAACAGAGAAGCTGCACGGGAAGGTAGTGCGGGAGGTGCGGAGGAAAAGTAGTGGGGGAGGTACAGGAGAAGGTAGCGGTGGCGGTGCAAGGAAAGCTAACAGAGAAGCTGTAGGGGAAGGTAGTGGGGGAGGTGCGGAGGGAAAGTAGTGGGGAAGGTGCAGGGGAAGGTAGCGGTGGAGGTGCGAGGGAAGCTAACAGAGAAACTGCGAAGGCAGGTAGTTGGGAAGGTGCGGTGGAAGATAACAGAAAAGGTGCGGGGAGGCGAGAGAAGGTAAAGAGCGGCGTGTGGGGGGAAGCGAGAGGGAACGAAGAGAGCGAGCTTCTCTCCTATTTACGAATCACCGCCACGCGCAGAGTAAGAAAAGAACCCCGAGAGCAAGCCAAAGAATTAAAAATCCCCACCAGCTGTCTCCCGTCCTGTCCTTCCGTCTGTCTGTCCGCCCGTCCGGTACCTGTCGCTAATTGAGCAGATGAAGTGATAGAAGAGGCTAAGAAGACGTAACTATGTAGACAAACAGACATAACGGACGGACGGACGGACGGACGGACGGACGGGCGGACGAACAGACGGACGGACAGACGGACGGACAGACGGACGGACGGACAGACAGACAGACAGAACGGACGGACGGGCAGACAGACGGAAGGACAGGACGGACAGACGGACGGACGGACGAACAGACCGACGGATGGACGGACGGACGGGCGGACAGACAGACAGAACGGACGGATTAAGGCGGAACACCTTTTGTTCGCACCTGGGCGATCCTACTCACGAGTGATTGACGGATTAGGTATCGTAAAGGCATCGGGTGGCTAATCTGTGCAGATTAGCGTGCCGTAGATGTGGACCGTGCTGCGCGGCCCGAGCGTTGTCAAGGACGCGCGAGCTATAGCGACGCTCTTGTCATGCACTCTCTCAGATTATATCTTTCTTTCTCTCGTTTTTGCTCTCTCTCTCTCTCTCTCTCTCTATTTCTCTCTCTCTCCCTCTCTCTCTCTCTCTCTCTCTCTCTCTC